AGAGAAGCATTCACCGTGATAACAAAATTCACTTGGGTCCTGATAAATGGTAGGTATTTCAGAATACTGTAAAAATCATGGACTTTGAGGACCAAAGAGTAAAGGCGCACAAAACTCACCACTTCCGACGATAGTGGCTGGAATCTGTCAGCCTAGGCTTCAAGCGACAGAGTAGAAGGGTCAAGCAGTTTTAAAGCTGGAAGGACCTTGTCTAGAACAGCCAGCCCCTCATTACATAGATCATAAAGTGTCTGAACTAGAAGAGATGTTAGAAATCACCCAGTTTCATCTCCCATTTTACAGATGCAAGAACTGAAAACCAATGAAATGTGATTTGCTCCAAATCTAATCCCCAGTGAGTGACACAGACCTGCCCCAAACTCAGGTTACTTAATCTCAATCGTGTCTGTTTACCAAACATTTATCAAGCACCTTTTTGTAAGCTGCACTGTGCTAGGTCTGCTTGAGGGAGTTTGGGGATGAAGAATACCCAGCCCCTGCCTTCTGATGGCTCAGGATCTCCTTGCAGAGATATACACATTCTCAAATACTTATAATCCAAGGTGATTTGAAATAATAGAGTGAACATCAAGGTCTGGGAAGGACAAAGCAGGAAACAATTATTTGGCCAAGAAAAATTGAAGATTTTCCCTTTACACTAGTGTTTCTCAACCATTACTATCTTCTATCCCACAGTCACTTTTTTTTCCCCAATGGAAGGAAAACAAAATCTCTATTTGCTGGACTGTTGGAATGGGTGAGACCAGACAAGAGGGTCCTGAGCTAACAGGCAGGAGGACCCACACTAGCGAGGTGAAATGGTACGACTGTCTTCCCCCTTTCTTCCCACCAGGGCGTCTTCCCTGGTGAACTCCATAGGTTTCCATCCCACGGGACCGTCCATTAAGGGAGGAGGGACAAGCAGTGTTCTCAGAAGGGGTACATAAAGACCTTTGCAGCTCTGCCATGGGCAGGCGGGGTGATAGGAGAGAAGCAGGATGTGCAGGATGGTGAGTAGTGGAGCACCTGGGGCGGGGTGGGGGGAGTCACGCTCATCGGAGACCATGGAGGTACAGTGCTGACTCTCGGGAATGGTGGCAGAGACCCCGAGTCCCAACTGTTGTACCCCAAAATCTGTTTGAGAAGCCACCTGCTTGCTGACACAAATAGTTTCAACATCCTCTCTGTAATCTGGGTGATGTACCTCATTTGGTAAAGAAAGTCTGCTTTTTAAAAATATGAAGTAGGCTAAATCTCTGTTAAGATTTTTAACAAATTTTCAATCATAAGGTCTCAATTAAAATGCTTTAAAAGTATGACTGAAGTTGCAAGTTGTGATACACGATTGGTTAGATATTATTTTTCACATTTCAAAAAAAAACCCCTCCATATGTTTTTACCAGCTCATTGAACTATCTTGGCAATAAATAGATCAGCATATCTAGGAATGATTGATACCATATGATTCTTGGGTATCGTATTTGATGATGCTCTGCAGTGTTTCAAACCACCAAAACAGAAACCCACCCACACATACTAAGCTCAAAACTGGCAGTTTTTCTCTTGATGGCTACAGTTAGAATTTAAACAGCATCATTAAAATTTTACAGGTGACATATCAGGAAAAATTAAGCCCACCAGTTGTGTTTCCTTGAAAGGGAAACAGTCCTTCATTATAATGAATGAAATTGTGTGCTACGTATGAATGCTAGTGACCTCTAGAAAATGAAGCGCTGACCCCTAAATGGATGAGAATCAGCCAGAGTAAACGAGGCAGAAGTTTTCCCAGCATAACTGTGCATGCTGGCAGGGAAGATGCTTGTTATAATTAAAAGAGATAGAGTGGTCAACGGGGAACATTTTAATAGGAACAAACATGACAACAGTGCCTAATATTTTTCTAGTCCATTCTTTATCCTCATGTTACGCTCTATGTCTGGGTTTTAAAAGTGACATGTGCATTGCCCATAAAAATAACACATCAACTTGTATAGCAGAACCAAGCAAAAAGTCATTTAGAATATGGATATGGACACTGTCAATGCCCAGTTTACTCAGAGTAAATCTCTAGCTAAATTTGCACTGTCCCCTTGTGATAGCTATTAGCCACACTGAAATGGCGTGTGAGCATTTGAAATGTGGCTAGTTTGGGTTGAGATGGCCTGTAAGTGTAAAATGCACACTGGATTTCAAAGACTAAGCACTGGGGGAAATAAAAGTAAAATATCTCCTATCTTATATTGACTACATGTTAAAATGACAGTATTCTGGATATCTTGGGTTAAAGAAAAGTATCCTTAAACTTAATTTCATTTGGTTCCTTTACTCTTTTTTCTAATATGGCTCCTAGAACATTTAAAGTTTCAAATGTGGCTTGCATTTATGGTCTGCATTGTATTTCCGTTGACCAATACTGATCTAAATGAAAAAGTTTGCTAAGCAAAGAACCATTTAGCAATCCCACAGAATTGAAATGTAAATTCATATTAACTGATGATAACACAACAACGTGAAGAAAACTGGTCAAGAAGTGACTGATATTTCGTTGAGTTGCCTTTTCCATTCCTTCTACACTGGAAAGTTTCTTAAAATCCAAATGTTTGCTTAATAACTTTCTAAAGGGAAAATGAGAAAGGCGGAAGTTCTGGGAAAGGAATTGTGCCCTAATCATAAGTTGGGCTCTGGAAGAAACAGAAAATCATCTACCCCGAGCTCTTTGGGGGCTCTGGATTTCGCTCGAAGTTTGCCTTTATTGAGAAGACAGGTTTAGGCCTCTCATTCTCTTACATTAATAGGGCTATACCTTTCTCTTAGGAAGAATATCAGAGGGCTCTCTTCCTTCCAGAATACGCTGTTAGAACATCATTGGCAGGGTGATGGCATTTCGAGTGGGAAGATATGGACCATGAAGCTATCTTGCAACAGGAGTGTAAACTTAGAGGGTGCGGTGTGTTCTAAAGGCACATTGGTTAGGGAGCTTTTAGCACCAAGAGAGCTGTTCATTTAAATGAGAATTATGCTTTTTAGGGAATCCATTGGAGGTATTCAGTTTTCCCAACTTTCTTTCATGTTCCATGCTTAGGCAGAAAAAGTGATACTGTAAGTCTGCTTTGCTGAGTCTCACGGAAATAAATGAGGTTTTAATAGGTCTAGCATCTAGGGAGGTTCTATAGAGAGGCTGTCACCACAGAACCAACAAATGTCAGATTTTCTTCACAAGGCTGGGGGGAATTGTTCAGAGTATCATGGGGACAAATGCAAGTCTGTGACAGATGAAGGTATGGTTTAAACCCCACTGACTCTGAGTCCTCATAAAAGCAAAGGGAGAGAGGGACAGGTGATTAGAACAACCGCATCACAGACGGGGCCAGCAGAGGACACAGCCATAAAAAAACCATGCATCAAACCACCAAGGAATGTAGTTGTGTGAGGATTAAATAAGACAAAATATGCTTAGTGTCTAGTAAGTATTCAGAGAACATATTATTTTGAAACCTGTCTTGTGGTATGAGTAAAGTTTATTTCACTGTACAAAATGCAAAGGCTCCAGAAAATTCACTGTATGTTCCCTGCTTTTGTCTAAAATCGTTTGTGAGAAGCTTTACTCACGCTTTAGCTGCCAATGACTCATGGTTAAATCATTTCACTCATCTTTTTTCCTTTTTTATTTTTTAATACAGTTGCAAATCATGTGATATTCTGCTTTGTTCTCTTCCCCCCTAAGGAAAGCTAAGCAACTCTAACAGCCCTATTACCTTAATGAACTAAAGCCATTCAGTGAAAGGAGTTGGTATTCACTTCATCAAATCTAGTGATGATAATTTTTTGAAAAGCTAAAGACTAATTCGTGGGCATTTTTTGGAGCCCTGTGACAATTCATATCACCTAATAACCTATGTGAGTGAAGGTTGGTGTCCAATGACTGCTAAGAAGATATAAGGAATGTTGCAGAAATAGAAAGAGGCCAGACTGAAATTTAATTAGACACTGCATAGGTTAATAATAAATTCAATTAATTTAGCTTTCTACCTATGCTAGAGAAAAAAAATGCCCAGGCAAAATAATAATTCATTTTAAATGCCTCAATTGGTAACCTCCTTTGCTGAAGAGTGATTTATGCAGTAATTTACTGGCTGTTTCTTCATAAGATTGTTCCAAACCAGCCCTTTTGAAATAATAATTTCTGAATGTGTGTTGTGAGAGATATAACAAATGACTTCTTATTAATTTTCATTTAATGAGTTGCCTATTCACATGGTAATTTTAAAAAAATTCCCTTCTTAAGATAAACAGGTTATAAATACTGCGGGTAACACTTCCGTTTCACAAAAATCGAACAGGAAAATCTGTCTCATATTCTCTACATGATTTGAAGGTCAATCAGTTGCAGATTTTCTATACTAAATAGGCATCTATTTCTTTCCCAGTTAGCATAGCAGATCATTTTAAATTTCTCTAGCCAAGTGATTCAAATTGGTTAAAAAAGGAAAAAAAAATATTAGCAGCAGGAAAGGTCCTAGCAGGGATAATACAGGGGTAGACAGGGTACAAAGTCATGAGCAAGGTGGAAAAGCAGCTAGAGTTGGTTAAGGAACCCATGAGACTGATCCCCCCCCTTTTTTTTTTAAAGAACACAATGAAGATCCTCTCTTACATCTTTCTATTTCTCCAGGTCGCCCCTCCCCTTTTAAAAAGATACCGAAATTTCTAGCATAAATATTAATCTTTAAGAATTTAATTGCTTATCCTTTCAAAGTTTAATTCCATAGCAGCTCATTACCTATATGTTGTCATCATAAAAACAGAATGAAATAATTAATAAAAACAAAATAATAAAAACTAGGAAGAGGAAGTCTCTCGGAAAAGACCGACTTATTTCAAAAGGTTCACATCTGTTTTGAAAGGCCTGTAATAGGGCAAGCCTCTTAAAAATAATCCCTTGCAACAGTTGAAAGAGTATGCCTAAAGTATTAAATAATTCAAATGCAATTGTTACTTACGTGAGAACCGAAAGGGCCTCGCTCCCAGCCCGCACTGCCTCACGCCCTCTCCGTGGAAAAGCCCGTACTGCATTTCGCCCATGAACTTGTCCAGTTCCTGCCCAGAGGCATTGACGAGCAGAGCCCCCGTTTTGCAGAGGAAGGTGGCTTTGATCCACAACGGTATTCCCAGGGCTGTCACCAATCCGAGGGCGCACACAAAGCTTAACACCCCAGCCATGCAAAAAATGACTTTCTTTTGTTGGTTTGGCATGATGAGAAATGGCTTTTGTGAGAGTGAGGTTCAAAAACGAGACCTTTGCGACTGATGAGAAGTGACTGCCCCTTTGGCTGCATTTATTATAGTGGCTGAACGGACAGATCCCGGCCGAAGAGGCACCTTCACTCTCGACGCTGGTTCTTGTCGGTAGAATGCCAGGATGGAAGCTTCTTCATCACACCTACTTGACTTTTCTCCTTTTCTGCTGCTGCTTCTCTCAAATTCGAAATCTTTGGACTAAGAATCTGTAAAATAAAACTCTTCCACACTGCCTTCGAGTATCTCCTCTTGTGTCCCTTGGGTAACAAAGGTCTAAGATAACAGATGGAGCCCTCCGTGTAACTTGATAAATGCCTTCCCTTTCCCCCAGGCTTTCATCTGATTGGGTGAGTTGAAGCTTTCAGACACAGGCTTGGCTCCTATGGTAAATTTTCAGCAACTGGAGAAGCTCATGTATTGTGTTTTTGTTTTTCGTGGGAGTTGAAGAGGAGTTTGGACAGAGGAAGAACACATGTATATTTAGTGGTAATTAACCGATTTTGGAAAACGGTAATCGGGGGCGCCTTGGTGGCTCAGTCGGTTAAGCGTCTGCCTTCAGCTCAGGTCATGATCCTGGGGTCCTGGGATCGAGTCTCACGTTGGGTTTCCCGCTCAGCGGGGAGCCTGCTTCTCCCTCTGCCTGTATCCCCTGCTTATGCTCTCGCTCTCTCTCATGCTCTCTTTCTCTCATAAATAAATAAATAAATAAATAAATAAATAAATAAGTAAGTAAAATCTTTAAAAAAAATGTTAATCATAACAGGATAAAATATTGAACGGAGTTGGGTGCCCTAGACCAACCGTTAGGGCTTGTCATCCTAACTTCTCTCCCCCCAGATCCATGATTTAGAATCAGTGTGTCAATAGAGAAGTGGATTCCAGTTTTTACTGGCACACAGGTACAAATATCTAGATTTCTAAAAGCTTTCCTTCAAAACACTTGGCTGCTTCAGGACTATAGCAAGGAAATGAGGTTCTGGGTCTGAGAAGTATCAATCTATAAAGAAGACAAGAGCATTGTCATGGAAAGAAGAGATTATGCTCAGATAGGTGGCTCTATGAATTAACCATAGAAAAGCAAGGGTCCAGCAGAAGTCATCAGTTAGGGAGACAAGAGACAAAGTCATGAGCAAGATTAAATAGCAAAATGAGTCCATTTACATTGTCAAGATCTGAAAACTAAAGTTCAGAATTTAGTAACAGCTTTTTTTTTTAAGACTTTATTTACTTATTTAGAGAGAGGTGGGGGGAGGGTCTCAAGTAGACTCCCCACTGAGCATGGGGCCCTACATGTGGCTCAATCTCACAACCCTGAGATCATGACCTGAGTGAAATCAGGAGTCAATGCTCAACCAACTGAGTCACCCAGGTGTCCTGTAACAGCTTTTTAACTCAGCATTCCCAGAAGGATTTTTCCTGTTCCTGCAAACAAGATACAAGGTTGTGAGTGTGTGTGTGTGTGTATGTATGTGTGTGTATGTGTTAAGTTTTGCTGAATATCTATCGTATGCCACATTTTGTGCTAGGCTCTGACCTACAAAGTTAACTTTTAGTGAGAACTTAGTATATATGGTACATTGTTAAGTATTTTACCTAAATTATCTTATTTAGTCCTCATAATTACCATATAAAGTGATGATGAAGAAGGTGATAGAAATGATCTCTCCATTTTATAGATAAGGAAACTGAGGCTCAGAGAGATCAAGCAACTTACCCAAGAGTAGTGGAGCTGGGATTCAAATCCGGGTCTTCTTCTTTTTTTTAAGATTTATTTATTTTAGAGAGAGAGTGAGAGAGAAAGAGCACAAGTGGAGGGAGGAGCAGAAAGGGAGGGAGAGGAGGAGGTAGAGGGAGGGGAAAGAATCTCAGGCAGACTCTGTGCTGAGCTGAGCATGGAGCCTGTTGTGGGGCTCGATCTCACAACCCTGAGATCAGGACCTGACCTGAAAATAAGAGTTGGAGGCTTAACTGACTGAGTGACACGGGAGCCCCTCAAATCTGGTCTTCTAATTTTGAGGTTTATGTGCTATCCTAAGCAAAGCCCTTGGCCTTGAAGAGAAGACAAGCTCTTCATTTTGGATTGTGTTGGGCTGGGAGCAATAAAAGCAGAGTAGCTCATTATTCATTGTATATCTTGGGTGCTTGGAGAACACAGACATCTGCAAACAGAACTTTCCCAGCTGGTCAAAAGCACGTATTTATGCTAGTTTCTATTCTCTTGATCTACCTTTAAGCCTATCAGTTTAAGAGAAATTTAAAGGAAGATGTATTTTATGCCTTTGTCAGCATAAATGAGTCTCTAGGTTATATGCACTTTGAGGGGGACTTTGAGGTACAGTCTTGGACTTCCTGGCACAGCTACCCTCTCTTAGTAGCTGCCAGAGGCTGTCTTGTTAAAGATAGACAACTAAGTGTAGAACTGATCCCAAAATGCCAATGTCGCTTCAAGGGAGGAAGGGGGCAACATAAACCATGCCCACAGAAGAACAGGGTACACCCTAGATTCCTCAGAGGCACTCAAAACTGGGTTTACAATATAGGTAAGGTTTTTTTTTTATTTCATGTAACTTGACACACACAATAAGCAACTCACCATAGGTTATTTGCCCTCCCAATGAATTCTCCACTGGATTTAGAATAATTGCCATCATTGTCCACTAGCAAAACAAGGGTGCAGCAATGGCCCCAATAAGTGGTTATCTGGGGGCACATGTGCTGCACCCACTCCAGAAACCCTAGTTTAAGATGTCTAAGAAGAGCTGGCCACTCTTTCTGCCCACAGGGCCTGTCCCCGTGCTTTAATAAAACCACCTTTTTGCATAAAAAAAAAAAGATGTCTAAGAAGAGCTATGCTAATTAAATCAACATATTCTGTAGTTGGAAGAAACAGAACATTTCCAAGCCTGGGAGCAGAAATTACCTACCTTAATCAATACTATCAATACATCTACAGGAAGGATATGGTAAGGAGGAGTAGTTGGCGTTGGGCAGTGGTTTAATGAACCAAACCCAGCCACGTGTATAGAAAGTGGTCCAAGAATTAAAGTCCTGACTCTGGACATAGAGAGTGGTTAGATCACACTGGTTCTTTTGTGTGTATTGGTCTACAGTGAAGTTTTCCCTGATCTGGAGAAACATGAGAAAAAGAAATAGAAGAGAGTGAGTTCTTTTATCGAAAAATTGTGTCCTTAATTTTTGTGTTCTTAAAATTTCCTTTCTTTAATGAAATAATAATAGATGAATTTTTAATATCCTTACTTGGCAAATTAAAAAATTGGCAAACCTCTATCTGTTCCAAGTTTGAATGACCAACCAACCCACTGGTCTAGGATATGCAAAAGCATGGACCTCTGGGCGGAAAGAATGAGTCCTCGGGCTCACAGGAACTGGGTGGAAGGCCTCTACTCTAATCCAGTGGTTCTCAGCCTTGGGTGCTCATCAGAATCACTTGAGGAGATTTTAAAAATACTAATGTTTGCATCCTAATCGTTGAGATTCAGATTTATTTGATTTTAGAGTACGGCCTTAGTGTTAAAGCATCTTAGGTGATTTCAATGGACAGTCAAGGTTGAAAATGGGGGCTCTTCTCATACAGCTGCCTTCTAATTACTAACTAGGCTTTGTGCATGCAAACATGAACATCCAGTCACTAGAGAGGAATATTCCTATTGTAAATTAATAAATGGGTACCACCATTTATAGCTCAAATTTCCTGAATTTTGTTCACCAAGAGCACAACCTTGTCACAATACCCTGATGGGTCAGGTTTCAGCATATCCAAGACTAAAGACTAGGCCCTGGATCATAGATTTACCCCAAATCACCATGAGAATGTCAACGGTGATGTGTCCTGCTTGTGAAGCTGCGCCTCTTGGGTCCTACGCCCACCCCACCTCCTCTCTGCAGCTTCCTTTCAAACTTCAATATCAACCACCCACAGCCTGCATAGTAGTGTGTGTGATCCACCCTCTGAGAATGATATAATAGAACCTGGCAGTCATTATGCTTGACAGCCTCCTTTTGAAATTTCATCTTAAATGTCTTGAATGACAGTGATGACACCATTTTCCTTGCAGTGTCTCTGAGAATTTGAGTCATTAATGTCAGCAAGTTTTCACCAAGTATCCTACTGAAATCTTTACTTCTCTCAATCTTAATAGGAATACATTTGGTGACATAAGAAAATGGAACTAGGCCTTTCTACCCTCCCTCATAACCCCTTTCAGGTGCTGGCTGATGATATAATTCTTCAGTGTGACTGGAAACAATATAGACAAAGGAATACAATTGCAGACTATGCTTTTACTTTCAGTGTAGCATTTATGCCTCTTCTCATCCTAATTTGGCTTCCTTAGTTTTTTCCCTTATGGTTGTTCAAAAACAAAAGCAACAAACAAAAACAAAAAACAAAAAAACAGCCCAAATCCAAAGGTATGGGACTTTTCACCTGATTCGCTCCCTGAGAGTAAGAGCGTGGTGCCATGAGGGAAGAGCACTGGGGAGAAAGATGTGATCCAGGGTCTGGTTCCAGATCCAACACTAAATTAAGAATTCCCTAATTTCTCTGGCATTCATTTTACTCATTTATGAAAAGAGAGGTCTTGGCTACATAGGTGATTCTTAAATTATTTTTAACCAGAGAAACCATTTGCTCAACTGAACTTTTGGGTGGAATAAGAGATAAAAATTGAGCTCTATACTGGAAGGAGTGGGGATTAAGGAGCTCTGCCGTGGGATCCCCTAACCCTAACCCTTTTTCCCTAAGAGCCCCCACTTGCAGCCCTAAAGTCAGCTCTGAGATGCACAATGATAAGCATGGGCCCCATGATCCTTTAACTAAAAATTTTTTTGCAAGTTATAGGATTCAAATTCGTCCGTTTGCTAGATTATTTCTCTTTTTTTCTTTGCTATACTAACCTATGAGCTATTATAGAATATTGTATTGCTTAGAGACA